TCCATTGCCTTCCAAGTTTTCTACGCAAAATGAGAATGTGCAATGGCGTGTGGCAATAAGACATTTCGCTCGTAATTCTGCAGACTCTGCAGCACCCTTACACAGCTGTTCTTCATCCGTTGAAGGGTGTATACGGCCTTGCTGAAATGATAATTCAAATTATAAATTCTGTATAATTTCATATCCGAAATGGCTCTGAGGAATATTACTGTAATTTGTTCAGTGTTGAATCTCTACAACTGAACTTCTGTGTGTTAAGGTGTCGACCCATGCTATGGCCGATGTGTGAATGGTCGTTGCGTCGCACCTCCGGTACGGCCATTAAGTTTAAAAATCAATCAAAATATTTTTCGTAGAGACCACTTTTTTTTGTTTTCAAGAACACAGTTCACAATGAAAATGGTTTTCGAGAACCTTCACTAAGACGGCTCTGTGGCCCTGGTTGCCAACTGAAATCCCGTCCAAATGCCTTTTTATGCCTTATTGGTCATGGTGACCTCTTAAATTCCCCTATTCCTAATACTTTTGAGAAGCTTTATATCTCCCTAATTCTGCCGATTTTATTGCTTTCTCCGCATGGTGTGATTTCCACCCACGCCCCTCGCACTTTTTACCTTGAGAAGGATTCCCCAAAACTAGAATGTGAACTATCGCTTCAAAAGATGTTTCCGATCAATACATGGTAAAATAGCTTCTGATGGTCTACGGGCCGCCTTCTGAGGATTCTCTATCACTGAACTCGGTTGGTGGAGAGTCTGTGGGGGAGGTTGGTACCTTGCAAATTAGCTCCTTCGTCCAATAAATAAGCCTTTTGTCCACTTTCGAACAGCCTTGCTAGCAACCCGAAGTTTATTCAGCTTCCAAGTCACAGTCTGGCAAGCTACTCGAGAGTACCTCACGCCAACTACAGTATTTTAAATGGGCCGCATACCGCTGATCTTGAGCGGGCCCCCATACAGCAGTGTTAGGTAGGGAGTAACGAGAGAGGCTGCTCAAAAGGAGAGGGAGTAAGACGGCGATCTGCTTTCTTAACGCACCAAAGCTTGCAACGAAAGCGTGTATCGAAGATCTCATAATGCAATCTAAAATGTCAAGTACGACGTCATGGACTGACCGCGACGAAAGTGCATCTCCCGCTGCATGCTCTTATCGAGGCTGATAAGACGATTTCACGGAACCCGTAACAGCAGAGGTCAGTACGCACTTGGCATGAATGATCGTTCGTACAAAAGCTTCATGACCTGATTTGGTCGCTTGCGATTGAGAAGATGTGGCTCTAAAAGTCTTTGTTGCTTAACCTCTCTTCCGTGCAATATTTTGTTTCTCAATGCCTGCAGAACGATCTGCGAAACTTCAAAACCTCCAACAATTTGCATCCCATAGCATTTTTGCGGGTTTGTGGGAAGATTCCACTGTCGACAACATCGATGAGAAATATAACCGGCTTGCCGGATATCTCCACGATAGTAGGAAAGCAGAGCGTTTATGGGTTGTCAGAAGAGGTCTCTCGTGAAACGCTCTCGAGTTGATAGCTGTATTAAAGGCACCGTTCACAAAAAAGTTAGGGTACCCTTCTTTGACGGGAATTGGTAGAACTACTCTAGAATAAAGCGATAACAACGAAATAAGCGCAAAAAACGATGAACAAAAAGAATTACAAAGGTTCAAAAAAAGTGCTAGAAAGTGGGGTTGGACGTGTTTCACATTGGAAAACGGCGGCTATGGAGTGTTCGGGCGAGAATGCACGAGGGCGACGCAATGTCTGCAATACAGACAACACACCCAAACAGTCGAGTACGAGGCGGTCGACCAGCTGACCATTCCTGGCAATTCGCCAATCTGCGTATCGACTTTTCACCAACTTCGCTCCAGTGCGAATGTGGTGAAGGACAACCTGTACTCGTAGTCAGCCTAGCGAGNGGCGGAGGCCTCCCGTCCCCCACTGTTCCTGCCCTTATCGTGCCCTATCCAGCCGTTTTCCGACCACATTCCTGCATAAATGGTACCAGAGGGGGCTTCGAATTTAAACCATGTGCAAATCTCCGAAACCATTTCTCCGTGAACGGTGCCTTTAAGGAATCGCAAAAGCTACAGACACTCATGATCTAACGTTCGAACTCGCGAAGCCGTACAGAGAGAAAAAGCTGTGAAGAAAAATTTGAAAGTGAGAACCGAGTTTTTGTAAAGTCCGTCGAGAATGCGGAGAGCATTCGCAGTGCCCGCTGAAGCTTCTCCGATAAGGTCAAGCCAGTTTCCCTTCGTCTTAAAAGACCGATTACTGTATCTCGCAAGCAATGTAGAGGGTCATCTACGACTTCTACCCGGATCCCTGCAACAGCGATATTTACTTTCCTACTTCATATTTATGCAAGACGGAGATGTCGCCGTTTAGGTTGTCCCTTCCAAAGTTCAACGTGCCATCGCGACGATGAGGAATTGTGCGGCGCCCGAACTTCAATCCAGAACATCTAAAGATTCTCCCAGCAAATATTAGCAGAGCACTGACTTGGTGTTCCACCTGCGGGGACGCAAAATGCCCACATTTGGAAAACCAGCGAGGCTGTATTGCAGTACAAGAAGGGAGGGACATTCAGACGATATTGGCAATTATTGCCCAATCTGTCTGCTGTCTGTTATTTATTGGGTTGTAACATAAATTCGTAGAGTTTTTTCACAAATATTTATTTGAACCAGAAAACAATAATTTTATTAATAAATTAACCAATGATGTATCCTCCGTTACTGTTCACGACCTCCTCCCATCTCACAACCAATTTGTTGATGCCCGTTCGCCAAAAATCAGCCGTTGTGGTGTCGAAGAATTTGTTTTTAGTTTTAGTGAGCCAGTTTTTAAGATCCCCTTCGCCATCGAAGGTAACACTCCTCATTTGGTTCAATATAGAGCGGAAAAGGTGATAGTCAAATGTAAGATCCGAAGAGTGCGGCGGATGCTGAAGAACCTCTCATTCAAGCTTTTGAAGTGCTGTTTTGACGACTTGAGCAATATGAGGCCTGGTGTTGTCGTGGAGCAAGATGACTTGATCTCCTCCATAAGGTCCTTTCAGCCGAATGCCTCATTTACACTGTTTAGCTGAGCAATGTAGACCTCCTTGTTGGCAGTGGCGNTTCGTTCGAGCAGTTTCCCAGTGCACCATGCCAACCCAGTCCCACCAAACACAGATCATGACTTTTTTTTGGGTGAAGATCTTGCTTGACTCTCGGCTTCGGCGCCTCTCCTGGGGCCACCCACACCTTTCAGTAGACACACCTAAGACACCTTCCCCATACACACTGCATATGTCCCGAGCGGTTTCGGCTGCTTTTTGACCTCGACGGAAAGCAAAGAAAAGCAGATGTCGGAAATGCTAATTTTCTCTTCCTGGATATTCCACTTCTGAGCCCGAAAAAAGACGAACAATTGAATTATTCTAAAAACAAATAAAGCAGTTTTGTAGAGGAGAAAGAGCTCTTTCGTATGAATGTATACACTTTGCTAAAAACAAAATAAATCGCTATAAAATAACTCTAAGGCAAAACTCTACAAACTTATGTTACAACCCAATACAAACTATTCACACGCGCCATCCTCAACAGGTTTGGCAAAATATCAGATGAAGGACAGCCACGTAAACAGGCGGGGTTTCGGAGAGGGTACACTGCAATTCATCGCATCCACACTGTCATGAGACTCATTGGAATATTACGAAAATACAGTATGCCGTGGTGCTGACAGTTCATCGATTTAGAGCAGGCATTTGATGCTGTCGAGGCAAAAGCGGCGATTGATGCTCTAAGCAACCAATGAATACACGAAAACGCTTCGTAAGCTTTTCAACAACTTGACGAGCAGGATTGCGCCATCTTCGAGGAAGTCATTGTCAACGTGAAGAGAGGGGTCGGCAGGGCGATACTATTCCGCCAAAACTTTTCAGTATTGCTCTCGAGAACATCATGCGTCATATGGAATGGGAAGGCATGGGAGTGAAGTTCGATGGCTACTACTAACATCGCACCCGCTTTGCAGACGTCTTCGTTTTTATAACATAGAGAAAGGAGCAGGGAAAGGAATGTTGGCCGTCGCTTGAACTTTGCACAGATGATGTTGATCAGAAATAGATCGGTACCAGATGCTCCTTCTACACTCAACAGGACAAGCTTATTTGAGTGCCCTAGCTATGTACGTGTATCTAGGCCGAGAATTAACGCGGTGAACGACCTAGCTTCTGAGCGGAGCAGAACCAAACGCGGCGTGACGAGCATTCAAGAATATCGAGGGAGTAGTGGAAACACAAAAAACTTCTAGCTCAGCGTTTCGACACTGCTATCCTTCGTGCTTTGACGTGGCTTGGACTCTACGAAAGGATAAACATGCACTCATAGTCGAGGAGCGCTGTGGGAAAGACGATACTCGTAATTTCTTCTATATGTACACGCAAGTGCGGAAGGATTCCGGAGCTCCAAGCTTCTTCAACGATTGCTTGAGCCAAAAAATCGGACCAGGGACGTTGCTGACTTTATTCCTCTTAATGTCAAACGAGCTTCAGAACAGCCCCATCCACGGCGACCAGATCTCTTTCCGGAAGCCCCAAGTGAAAGGTATGCTATGCCTTGGGCCCCACGAATGAGAACGACCAGCTAGTAGGTTACATTTACTGCCGACATTCATATGAGCGCCTTGTTTACCACTTTGGTCTGGTGTTTTTCACTTCGTGCTCATCTTACAGAAAACCTGAAAGTTTCGTTTGAAAGATACAAAAAGACTCCTTCCCATCCCAAAAAAGTCTACAAAGGAACATCCAGAAAGCACAGAACTACTTATACTAATATATCTAACACTTGTGGAATCCCCAACAGAAACTGGTCCCTGAATACGATTTCCATTGACAGTTCAGTCGAAAATTAAGATCGAGGACGGAGTTTTCAAAAAATTCCAGGTAAACTGTAGTTGTAATGGTACCTACATTTTTACTTTCGACCGTCCGAGCTGCTCAATGCTGGAACAGATGAGACTATGGAGATAATAAAAATCAAAGCGGTTAAGTTGTATGAATAGGCAAGACGAGCTTCCCGGTGAACCAGCCGGCTATATAAGTGAACCAGCTGGCTTCACTCGCTGATATGCAGCCCTAAATCTCATCAAGTCGTTTAATGGTTTGTTAGTGTGCTACCCACTATTTTCTTTGATAAACGACAATTTCCAGTTGATAATGTTTTCGTAATTATCATATTTTCTTTATTACAGAGAGCGGCTGCAGGACCGCCAGCGGCTGGTGCACCTCCACAGGAAGTTCCAATCGAGCAAGACGAGGTGCGATTTTCGTTACTTAGAAGAAATGAACTCGAATTGGCTATGCGAGTTTCCGCATTTTACCATTAATTTTTCATTCTTCGTTGTTTTTTTTTTCGTAGTGATGTAGTGGCAGGGGGCAAGGAAGCCGCCTATCACACAGGTATGGTCCGGGGATAGATATCCATCCAAGCTAACCAAGCTTTTCTTCTTTTGGAGTCGCTTAACCAGACCAGGTACCAGACTCGTCTGGGATAATGAAAGCACTGGCTTGTATAACAGCTAGCCACCGTAAGCCATAATTCCGGCCGAACACGCTATACTACGACACTACAAATCTGAATAGAAATCAAATGCGAAGCGCATCCCGAAATAGGATTGGTTGAAGCCAAAAATTTCATTGACTCATCTTTTATCTTTTTATTCATCCCATAGCGGATGAAACGAAATGTGAGGAGAATGAGTGAGCAGTCTCTCCCTCGAAGAACCTTCGAAATTACTACATAAAGAAATATTTCTTTGAGATGAGCTGCGGAATCCTTCCTCCCATCAGTGTTAATAGACTGGTGACAGTTTTGTCGGGGTAAGGGTAAAGCATAACCATAACTAGCCTTCGCATGCCACGTAATAGTAACTCAGGGGTCTCTAAAACAGGATACATCGACCCGAAAACCTTAATCCTCTAATGAAGAGATGATTTGTGATATACCGAGGCGACAAAATCGTGTCTCTAGTTAGAAGGGCCTGGGGGTAAAGGTTGACGCTATCGGCCGCTTCATGACGGCTATCACTTTCAATCGTAATCTTACGGTTGAGCAGTAAAGCCAAGTACCATAATCGTATCTATTTCAAGGAAGCAAAGGCTTCATTTGAAGGCTTGAGGGTCAAAGTTCATCCTTTTGTGAGGAGTGTTACCGAACGGCCATGCTCGTTTAACGCCCCTCACACTTCCATTTCCTGTATTTCGTAAATTCAAAAAAGTTTTTTTTTTCATTTTCAGAGTTGTTACAACCAAAACCCGTGCTGTGCTACATGGGCTGACCGTGGTGGTTGTACCCAGGACCCAGCACGGATGAAGCTCATTTGCGCTGCCAGCTGTGGAGCCTGCACCCCGCAAACTCCTATTAGTGATGGTAAGTTGTGGTTTGAGATCGTCGAATTTCAGCCTGAGCTGGATTCATACTGAGGATTTCTATGACTGTCGAAAGGTCCAGGGAAAGCTTATGTTTCAGATTGCACAGATCGTCATCCGCTATGCTCTGACTTCGCTAGCGCCGGACGATGCACTTCAAGTGTGAACTTCATGGCTGAAAACTGCCGAAGAACGTGCAACCTTTGCGGAACACCACGTAGTGCTGGCTGTGCTACACGGCGATTATTCTAGATTCCATCTAATTATTTATGAAAATGTTTCCTCTAGGGAATAAACTCTTACTTTCTTCCCAGGTAACTTTGGAATGACCTTTTCTTAGAATATCTCATAATGCAAGTTTTCGATTGCCATGAGAAAGCGGCTATTAATAACAAATATATGAAGTGTATCTCCTTTCCAAGAGACAGAATGAAAAGGAGCATGCATGCTTTCGGGAAAAATCCAAACATTCAAGAAATTTTTGTAGGATTGTATGAAGGCTCTTCAACGGTGATCGATATCGGAAACTCCGAGTCATTTGCCAAATCCGTGAACTGATCACCTCGGTCCTCAAAGGCGAACAGATGGCTGCTATCAGAACGAAAAAGGCAGAGAAGGCACAAATTAATGGAAAAGAAACAGGGAGTACTGGATGACGGTTGCAAGAACGGCATGCTGTGGGAGCAAACCGACTGTGACATCCCCAACTAACAGTAAAACGTGACTATCACCGATGCAACCAGGTAGGAAAAGCATACACAGTGAATATACTCCTCCGGCGTATGCATGGGGTGTTCGTTTGTTTGAAGCTTCCTCTACGGCTTTAGTTTTCCTGGTATTTAGATGCTTAATTATTGCTGTCATGAAAGAAGTCGTCTATTACCTGAAATCGCAATCAGCCGAAATCTCGATGGGAGTTAAGATGGCAACCTCCTCTTGCTCTGTTCCTATAAGTGAATTGGCAAATGAGGAGAGGGAGATTCTGACCGTCCTTATTGACTGTCTGTCGAAGCATTCTTTCGAATTCCAAAATAAACGAAAAATATCGCAAAACTCGTAAGATGAGTGAGGCAAGACCTGCGATGACATTCGTCTTGCTCCCGTGGTTGTTGGAACGACTGAACAGGTCGGTGGATTTCAGAGCCAATCAATCTTCGAGGGAGTACTCCCATCCTCGGGAAATTGACATTTCGAGGGTATCAGAAGAAATTCATATTTAGTTTGCGACATCTCCATCAGAAACTGATGTTTATTAGATTGATACATATATAAATATCTACCATGTGTTTGATCCTTCCGTACCTCTTTTGCATGGATGTTGGCATTTTGCTATTACGTGTGCGTGAAGCGTGGATGATACTCTTCCATCACTGGCTATCACTCGCCCACCCTGCGCTTGAAGGTCACAATGCCGCACAGTTTTCACAAGTTCGTCACAGAGTATGCTGTCAGAAAGGCACTCGACGAGTTCATCAAGTCCCAGCCCCGTCCTTCTGGGAGAAAGGACTTGACAAGCTGCCTAATCGTTGGTGTCGAGCAGTGGATGGTGATGGTGCTTACCTCTAATCTTGAGGCTGGTTCTCTATTGAGATATTTACAAAAAAGTCGGGAAAGAGAACTTATGCATCAACCAGTCTGTCCCTCTATGTATCTATGTAGTTTTTAACGTTCATTATTGAAGTCCAGCTTGCTGCCAGATCGCATTGCAGTTCTGGTAGCAATCAGGGACGAGACGGTGCGGAGCTTCGACGATGAACGTAGTGGGGTTGAACAAAGGACAAGCCAAAGGCCAAATAGGGTCAAAAGAAATCGTTGATAAATCTTGAACGTAATAATTATACATACATGTGTAATACCACTTCCACTTCCAGCTACTCGTACCTCTTCTTGCTAACCCTGCCAGTTTCAAAGGAACACATTTTACCATGGTTCATCAGTGCGAACACGAAATCAATTGCACAGCACGTGATTCCGTAGACGTCACGTCGTAAAATTTTTTACACCCACAGTTCACGTGCAGGCCATGTGTCTGCTTCGATAGGGAAATTGCTATTCGGAAGGATTCAGCCCTTGAAGAATTCCTGCAGAATTCAAAAGTGCACAATTTAGTGGCGGTGAAGATATCACTGTCTATCTGACGCTTGTTCATATAGTCTTAATCGGTATGAACACCTAATAACCATGGAATTCGAACTTCCTTCGGACCAATAAAATTCCAAAAAGAGCAACCACATTAGAGGGGCTGACTTCACCGTTACTATTCGAAGCGTAACTTTTAAAATACTTGTCGAGTTGATATATTCAGATGACTAACCGTTCTGTCGTCAAAGGTGACTCTTATAAACAGTTGTTGATTAAGTATATCCATAGGTGTGGCTATGATTGTTATGATACAGTTTGGAGTTTCCAGGTTCTAATTATACCGCCTTCAAGACTCAATCTAAGAAAATTGCGATGTTCGTAACTAAATCGAGCGTGAGAGAGTTGAAGTTGAATGTGTGTCCTCGAATTTTTCAGACATTTTCGATTTTTCGGAGTTTTTGGAGTAAATTTTCGAAGTTTATCGTCTCCGATCCCTTACAAAAGATTGGTGGGTCTCGTCCGCAAAAAAATTGAGGTTCGGCGTTTCCCGTTTTCTGTATTTTACTATGCGGATCAAAGAACTCATCTCTCCATCTCTCATGGGTTTTGGGTGCGGTCTAACTGTACTGGTTGGAGTCGGTATACTCGGTGTTAACCCTGATCACGCAGACATAAAATTTGAGAAGATTTTCCAATGCATTTAAGAAGCGGTTGTCTACAGGATTCATATTTTTTTGCTAAATCAAATCATTCCCATTTATCGATTTCAATTTGTTTTTTCCTAACACTAATATGTTCCCGCGCACACGGCCACGGGTTCGAATCCCGGATCGATATCCGCCTTGGCCAACCAAGCCTTCCATCCCTCCGAGGTCGTTGACTTGGTACCCGACTCGTCTGGGAGGATAAAAGCACTGACTTGTTCATCGGCTGGCCACCACATTTCATTGTATAGGCCACATACGCACTCATTACACCACTACGATTCTGAATGGAAGTCGAGTGCGGGGCGCATCCCTCAGACGAGATTGATTTACGTCAGAAGAACTTAAGATATTATTAATATGTTCTCCTGAACCTTTCTCACACACACAAGGTTGGCGAGGTATGGACAAAGCTTCAGCCGCAGACGGAACTCGAGCCCGCACTTGTGCTATCCCTCGCCTTCCAACTCGCAAGCCATTTGAGACTTTCGTATCGCGTACTACGAAATAACAGCAGTTATCAAAACATCGAGTCAAAACTTTTACATACTATTTCTCCATTTCTGGAAGTTGCCTTGATCTTTGTTCATCGACTAATCAGATACATTTATGATCATTTGACTTAAAATAGCTGTTGTGAGACAGTGAAAGGTGTTGGGAGTGACACTTACCATCACATGATCACAAGTATGTCCGATTAGCTACCGGTCGATGTGTGATCATTGATGCTAACACCAAGAGATTATGCAGATCAGCCCAGGCACTCTGTATTCATGGAAAAAGGGAACAAGAAGCTTTTGTCAGTTTAATAAAAAAGTTCCTGATTTGTTTTGAACGTTGTTAGTACGATCAACCTTGAACGGAACTATTTAACAAAGCGATTCTGTGGTACATGATATGTGGGACGGACATGCCGGTTCTCGAGTAGATTTCATATGCTCTACAGATGATCTGTCGAGAAGTGACTTCATTCTACAGGGAAGTAGATACTGCGGATGGATTGTTGCAGGCAGGAACGGAAAAGCCGTCGGGAAATCTCATCAAACGGTCACAAACACCGAGTGCAGCTGCAACTTCAGTTAGACTCATTTACTGTGAGAAACGAAACTTCCCGGAACTTTAAGTCACCGATTGTCAGATTCGAGGTAGCCGAAGCAGGCGTCACAATGAAGTGATCTGTGATCAAAATATCATCCGACGATTATCACCGCTATCACCGTTGTCCGTTGGATGGTCTATCACAACCTGGGTATTTCTGTCGTCGTTCACGATTGCTACGTCAATGATTGTTGAGAGACCAAACGGTTATCCCACCTCTCAAGCAATCTTATTGGACAAACATCTTTAGCCCCGCCTACTACATCAACTGATTGGTGAAAAGTTCTCAGCCTTGTCGACCCTGCGACATTCATATATCACAATGTCGGAGACGGCATAAAAGGCGCCTGGAATTTGCCGGAACAACACGAAGTTCGTTGCATTGACTACAAATGGCCTACTCCATATATGCTATTCTAACCTTACTTTTCCTACTTGGTCGAGGTATGTCCTTCTATTTCATCATGAGTGATTGATCGATTTTAAACGATTTTTTGATAGAAGTTGAGACCAAACCTCTGGCGCAGTTATTTGAAAATCTCATGAAGAAACATACGGAAATAAAAAATCAACAACTCATGCAATTCATCTCGAAAGCCGTACCGTACGGAATCGACCCACCCAATCCGAAAATTGCAGAGTAAGTGATTTACTCGGACTACTGTAACATCTACCGGACGATTGTCAGTCTTTTTTTT